CCAGCAGATGGTGTAATGGTTACGTCACTGGACTCCCATGTAATCGACTGCAGTTCAAGTCCCGGACTTGGCAGCTTAAAATTTATGCTGAAAAAAAGCGGGGGAGGCCCTGCAGGTGGCTTGGTGGTTAAGGGTGCTGGACTCTCAAATGGCCAACTGCGGTTCGAGTCCCGGACCTTACAGCTTGCTTTCTCACTTCCTTCCTCCCTCTCTCTCATTAAATTAAAATAAATAAATAAAAGTTAAAGCAATTAAAAAAAAAAAAAAAAAACCTTATGCTGGGCACATGTGCGTGCATGCCTGAGATCCCAAGAGGAGAATGGAGAAGGGATTGCAGCGTGGCCATTCCCCCGGGGGCAACTTCTCACTTTCTGTCTTGAGTGTACACGCCCTATAGCAAAAATCTCTCTCAAAAAAAAAAAAAAAAAGAAAAAAAAAAAAAAAAGAAAAAAAAAAAAAAAAGAAAAAAAAAAAAAAAAGAAAAAAAAAAAAAAAAGAAAAAAAAAAAAAAAAGAAAAAAAAAAAAAAAAGAAAAAAAAAAAAAAAAGAAAAAAAAAAAAAAAAGAAAAAAAAAAAAAAAAGAAAAAAAAAAAAAAAAGAAAAAAAAAAAAAAAAGAAAAAAAAAAAAAAAAGAAAAAAAAAAAAAAAAGAAAAAAAAAAAAAAAAGAAAAAAAAAAAAAAAAGAAAAAAAAAAAAAAAAGAAAAAAAAAAAAAAAAGAAAAAAAAAAAAAAAAGAAAAAAAAAAAAAAAAGAAAAAAAAAAAAAAAAGAAAAAAAAAAAAAAAAAGACATGTCACGGGACTAGCGGACAGCATAGCAGTTATGTCACTGGACTCCCATGGCCAACCATGGTTCAAGTTCTGTCCCAATGGCTGGAAACTCACGCCAGTGCGTGTGCGTGCCCAAGATCCCAGGAGAATGGCGAAGGGACTGTAGCGCAGCCCTTTCCCTGGAGCCAATTTCTTACTTTCCCTCTCATGGTCGCTCTCCCTTCTCTCTCTCTCCCTGCGAGTGCACACGCCCTAAGACAAAAACCTCTGAATGAATGAGTGAAGGCCAGAGCCAACTCCGTCTCGGTCGCCATTGCTATTGGGAGTACCTGGGGCTCTGGGGTGGGCAGGGTTCGGTCCCAGGTCCCATCTGGCTTCCACAGGCAGAGACGTAGCACTTCACCGGGGCACACCACCAAGGCCCCACCTCGGAACCACGTTGCCACACTACGCTCCGCAGAACGACCAGTCTTTAAAATACCGTCGATCGGGACCAGCAGATGGCTGGACTCCCATGTAGTCAACCACGGTTTGAGTCTTGGACCCAACAGCTTGAAACTCACACCAGGTGTGTGTGCGTGTGTGCCCGAGATCCCGAGAGGAGGAGAATGAAAGGATCGTGGTGTGGCCATCTCCCCTGAGGGTCGACTTCCTGCTTCCTGTCTATCTCTCTGGCAAGCGAATGAGCCCTATAGCAAAAATCTCTCTTAAAAATCACCGTCGATCGTGGGACAGCCGTGGAGTGGTGGCGAAGGCACACCACGGCCAGAGCGTAGTGGAGGACGGAAGTCATGGCGGTGCCCCTTTTGGCGGGGTTCTCCTTTGTCTTCTGCCAGCGCACCTGCTCTTGGCTTGTCACAGACACACGAATGGGAAGCAGCCAGACTCCTGTCAGCGAGCAGGCTGTGGGTCCCACTGGGAAGCGAGAAGGAGCGGCCCATAGCGCGTGCGGCTCAGCAGCAGCCGGCTGGCACAGAGGCTGGTCCCGAACGCCTCCAGCCCGCAGTCCCTGTGTGACTTCTGAGCTGGCAGAGCTGCAGCAGAGCTCTGCTGGAGGTGCCAAGGCCCCAGACTGGGAAGGGGTGGTGGCTGCTGGGGTGCGAGGCTGCTCTGTCTGATGGCAGTTCCATGCTGCGTGCACCTGCATGGGCTTACACGCTGCACGCCAGGAGGGGTGGGCTCCCGCAGAAACCACCTCAGTTCTTAAAAGTGTGCTCGAGCGCCCGCTCTCTCTCACTTTGTGGTATGTGCTTTTCCCCGAAAATGCCATCCCTGGGGCCTAGGGGCAGGGTGGCCGGTGTGGGCACGAAGCCCAGAGCGCTAGGTACACAGTCTGTGAGGCCAGCAGTGGCAGGCGATCCTCCCGGGCTCAGAGCAGGTGCTGCCCCATCAGGACAGCGAGGTCAGAAGCCATGACCTCCTGATCTCCAGAGGTGGGCCTGCTGGGCAAAGGACAGAGCTCCTAGGAGCGAGGACTCAGGGTCGGCCAGGACGAAGGACATGG